CCTTCCCTTCTTTCATGTAATTATATTTTGAAATGGCTATTTCCCCTCTAAATAGTTAAATAACTGGTGACCATTAACTGAAGTCCCTGAGTCTCTCTCTATGGAATAAGAAATGAAAAGATTATCTACCACTAGAGTTAGAAATGGAAAGCAGACTGGACTGAAGATTTAAAAATGTAGCTTTTCTGTTTAAACCAAGGCTAGAAGCTCATAGGAAACTCAGAAGAGGTAAAACTTAGGCAACAGGAATTCAACAGAACAAGGTGCTTTATTTTGAACATGAGATAGAGGAACATTCAGGAAAATCTTTTAAAATTATTCTACATAGTGTCAGAAACATGGATATGATGACATGCCAACACTCTCACTCGAGTTCCTTGGTATGTGCCCCTGATAAGACTTGGTGGAAGAGATCCCCAGGCTAACACAGTCAAGAGTCTACAAAAACTGCTGAGGAAAGGCTGAGATACCAACCATCCCTTGTCCTGAGCCTTCTGACCTCAGACTCTCTATCTGCAGAAAACACAGGAGAGCAGGTAGACATCTAGAAATGCTGCTTCTTCCCCAGGGAATTTTAGTCACTTCAAATAAGTCACAACTCCATTCATAACCCAGGATTTTCATGGGGTCTTTAAAGAGTACAAGAGCCAATTTGCTTCCTCAAAGGTTCTTCAAGGGTCCAAGATTAGATTAAGACCAAACTCTCCTTAGTATTTCCACTCTCACCCAACACCAAGTATGTGGCAAGAGGGATAGGCCCAGGAGAAGGAGACTGTTATTAACAAGGTAAAAAGGCAAAGAAAATATAGGGGTAAACCAAGGCTCATTTTCAGGTGTCTACACAGTATTAAGACGGACTTTATAGAACAAATGCCTCTTGTGGGGGATTTTTATGGCTATTCTTTAGAACCCAGGAAGTCTTCGGAAAGCCATACATGAGGAGGATTAAAAATATTACCACAAAAGGAGGAAATGCTCAAGGTCAAGGTCTCAGATGGCATCTTTTAAAGAGCAAGATAATGTGTATGCTTAGGCTAAAAAGGGATGGGGAATAGAGGTCTTGTTTATAGGCACTAATCCCACCTGGCCCTACGAGTTGTAAAACATCTTAGGTCCAAATACCTTCAGGAAGGGGTAGAATGCCTTTCCAGTACATTTGAGCTAGGTGAAAAATAAAATAATATTAAAAATGAAAAGTTATAATTATTTTAAAAAACAGATGGGGTAGGGAATAATAAAATCTCCCATTTCGCAGATGAGGAAATCAAGAGACAAAGTTTAAAAGAATTTGCTCATAATCTGCCAGCTAATAAGAGAGGGGAGCTGGGATTAGAACCCAGTCAGTACAGCTCCCAAATCCATGATCACCATCACCCATCTTTCTCAAAGTTCAGCCTCCAATCCAGAATTGGTCCACGTTTTACATTCCCATCCCTCTCTATCCATGCCCTTAAGTGTATTACTACTAGAGAGTCTTAGGAATGTCTTATCAAATGTCTCATAACCAAAAGCAGAACCTCCCTTTTCCCCTTCTTTTCCACCTTGTCCCAAATGATGCCTGAAGGCAACCACATCCAAATGCTGGATGGGGAGGCCCTTGTAGAGCTATAAAACATGCCAGATGGTTTGGCATATTTTACTGAATGAATTACTGTCTTGATTTGGTGAGATAATAGGGAGGGGTCTTATGAGAAAGAGAGCACATCAGTGTGTGTGGGTGGGAGACGAAATGAAATAATAACCTCAATAAAAATCAACATACGTCTTCTACTGAAATTGTGCCTATACTTCAAAGGCCTGTCTCAGACATCACATCCTCCCAGGCAGACCTCAGGTTTCAAGAACCTAAATAACATTCCATTTCTGGCTGTCCTTGCAATCCAACTTATTCCACCTTATACTGTAGATATCTATAACGTATACTTTAAGCAACTTGTGGGGAAAACATTCTTATGTGGACAAAGCACGCATATTTGAGTGAATTTGAGTGAAAAGGGAAACTGTTGAGGTCATTTGAGTGAAAAGGGAAACTGCAGTGGAATTATAAATTATAAAAGAGGGCTCAATGTATCACCTATCCCTTCAATGTAGTCTAAGGCAAGTTTATAGCAAAACAATAACTGAAGTCTCTGAATTAAAGGCTTGAAACAAGTTTCTCATTTTTCGTACATTTACGTATGTTAAGGTCTATTTTTCTCACAACCATTTCTGGTTATGAGAACAAGCAAAATTCAGTGTATACTTTTATTTTAATATGGAATAACTGTCTATTTTAAGAAGCAAGAACCATCCTTTTCGGTAGTTTGTGATTTCTGAGGACAGGGGCCCCACTGGGTTCTCTAAGTCCAAAACACGTGGTGAACACAGTGGCTCTTCAATAAATATTACTGACCACACAACCCCAGTGAACAGCCAGCCAGCATAAGTCAAATTCCAGTGCAAAGAAATCTGAAAGTAATAAGGTCAATATGTAACAATAAAAGCCTCAGTTCAATCCATGTAACATTAAGCACCTTATCTCATAAATTAAACCTAATATTATACAAGCCTATAATTTTTTCAGATGGAGGGGGGATAGAAGAAGGGAGAAAGGGGTTACCCAGAACCTGTAAGATGATACCAAACATTTCTGTGTATCTGTCTATGTGGTATGTGTATAATCACATTTTCCCCCCAAATTCAAATTAATAGTCTACCCAATAATTAATCTCATCAGGGAATCAAGAGATAGCGATAAAGAGAGACAGTGAGAGAAGAGACAAAAAGGAAACCAAAGAAAACATAAGGGAAGGGAGAAAGAAATACAGAAACAGAGAGGAAGAAAGGGAGGGAAAGAAGGAGGATGGAAGGGAAGGAAAAAGAAACAGCTACATAGAAGAGTGAAACAAAACAAAAGTGGCTTAAAGAAAACCTTTTCTTGCTGAAATTTACAGTAAAACCCAGATTCTTACAGAAATGAATAACTCATCTTGGGTGGCTGAGTGGCTGGGGTTTGCTGTGAAAGGAAATCAATATTTTACTTGACAATTTCCAGACCGAACGCCACTGTCATTTTCAGTGCCATTTCACTGTCATCTTCCCACAGTAAATAAAGAATAAGATAATACATAGTTTTCCCCCCCGAGGCTTGTGAACATGATCTCAATTGTACAACTGCAACAAATCACCTAACAAATTCTTGGCAGAGTAAATCAAAGAACATATGTTTACCCAAGGTGAACAGTAGCCACTGGACTGTACAGTGAGTACATCTGGTTTCCGACAGCTCCATCAAACATGCCCTAAAGCTGCCCAATAATTTACCCCCAGTCATGCATGCTACCATAGGCCTACCACTAAAATCTAAAAGCTTCACCATGAAAAATGTCCTGTCAATTTTCATTTCTGACATAGCTTTGATAAAAGCCTCACAAATCCTCTTAGAAAGACTACATTATTTTCCATGCTAATACCACTAGACTGAAAACAGACTGAATAACCTGTATCGAGAGTATAGCTTCTATGAATGTACAGAGCATATTTATCATGTCACAACTCAACACCTTTTATTGCTCATTCCAATTTGCAATGGTAGCTTCAGAAATGGCAGCGTTTGTTCTATAAAGAAGCAACTTAAAAATACCTTCCTTGACAGATTGGTGGTGGCCAGTGGCACAGGGTGGAGAGGGGGCAAAATGGGTAAAGGAAGTCAAAGGTACAAATTTCGAGTTATGAAATAAATAAGTCCTGAGGATGTAATGTACAGCACAATGAGTATAGTTAATAATACTGTATTGCATATTTCAAAGTCGCTAAGACAGTAAATCTTAAAAGTTCTCACCACAAGAAAAAACAAAATTCTATAACTGCATGCTAATGGATGTTAACTAGACTTATTGTGATGATCATTTTGCAATATATACACATATTGAATTGTTATGTTGTACTCCTGAAACTAATATAATGCTGTATGTCAATTATATCTCAAGAAAAAATACCTTCCCACTTTTCTTCCTGCTTTGTTCATAATGTAATTTTTAACAAGCTGCAATTAATGTCAGGAAGACAGACTCTCATCACATTTTTAGAACTTCTTTCATTTTCCACAGTATATATGTCTTTCCAAATCTTACAGAACTCTGTATTTTACATAGTTTAAAAGTCACATAAAACAGAATAAAGAACTTATCTTTTAACTGGTACATTTCCATATGATGGCATGATTCAAAAGTGTCACCTTGCTTAGCAAATTCATTCAAAGGAACCAATTTTAAAGGAAATCCACATGTGTACAAATTTTTTAAAAAGAGTGCTAGAAACAAGTAGAAATCTGTAAAAATCACATTCTCAATAGACATATCTTATCCTGAACTTCTGAAAAATATTTTCACATCCATTTTCAATCACTATTTTGTATTTGATCAAATGCACATCTCATTTATACTATCACAGATTGTTATGAATTCCAAAGGTGATTTTGTTGTCTCCTTAAAAACAATCTGATGATGGGGGAAACATACTGTTACCAGTAAAAAAACAAAAAAAACAACAAAGGCGAGTGAAAATAATTCAAGCATTCTACAATTACTGATATTTAATTTAATCTATTTCCAGAGACAACTGGAGTGGCTCTGTGACCAGGGACGGAATACAGTCAGAGCTGCTTCCAGTGTGGTCTGTAAATGCCTTTCTGTTTCCATACTGAACTGCCTTTGTGACCTTTCTCAAATTGTGACAGCCTGCTTACAAATAAATCAAAAACTGCCCACCAACTATTTGTGTCACCAATTGTTCCAAATCTACTTATCATCTCAGTATTATTGGTTACAATGTGGACTTTTAGGGATATTAATTGAAGGGTACTTTGTAGTCTGATGCATCAAGGACTCAGTCAAAACATCAATAAAACCAAAACAAAAAATAAAATACTTAAGTGACCCTTAGCCTCTTTTGGATAGAAATATGTGCATAAGAAAATATAAACATAAGCATATTTTAAAAACCAATATTTCAATGCTTACTTTCAGTAGATCCTTAGAGAAATCACCACCTTCATTTACCCCTTGGAGGTTTGCAATGAACTCTTGGCAGGTCATCTTCTTTCCAATATTCTGGAATAGAGGCAAATAATACATCAAAATGACATATACAGAATTAAGATGAATTCCTAAAAATGTAATTAAGTAAAGCAAGATTGATTTGGATTTTCAAACCATGAATACACACATACACCCCAATATATGTGTATATATACATAAATACATATAATACAAATTTATATGCATAAGAAAAACAGATGGCGTATTATGCTTTTAAAACTGTCATTAAAATAAATAGCAAATTTATGCCAAAGCTTTATTTTAACCTAAGAAAAAAAATCTATGCTATATTTATGTAAATAATACTCACATATAATGTAGTTTTTAATGAAAAACATGGACAGACATGACATTTCTTAAGTGAACTCTCATAGGTATTTATTTGCCTTTGTATTTGTATTTCTTACATATTTTCAAGAATTGTGAAAGATCTGAGATTGTCACCTAATTTTTGTCACAATCTCATGAATCCTGGCAGAAGTAGGAAGACTCCTGGGTCAGAAGTGCAGGAATTTTCACAACAAGAGGAGTAGCCAGAATATCAGCATTTTCTTGCTCCAGTTCCGAGTCCCAATTCTCAGAGAGCAACCTGAGGAGGGCCAGCTGACTCCTCCACCTGCAGTGGGTTGTGGTACAGGAAAGGACCCCTGAGCTTTGGGAACCGGAATATTTATAATGGGCAGTAAGCATGTCCACCCCTTTGCTCTAAAGGGAGAAATGAGCTCTTATCGTCCAAGGCTATAAGAAAACGTACCCATCGCTCTGAAGTCATATCTTGCAAAGCTCCTCACTATAGAAATAATCTTTAAAAGATAGGCCAGAACAAAGGCAATCAAAGCGTCTGTTCACAAAACGAACAGAAAAGCGAGAGCCCCACGGACAATTGTCTCCAAACATGTTTCCAAGCTGATTCAAGGATAATCAGTTTAACCAAAGAAAATCACATTAATAAAAGAAATGTAATTAGAAAATCTAAACTACAAACAGAGAAAAGATACAAATAGGCTGATTGAGAAAACTAATAAAACCTCTATGACAGAGAATCACCTTCTATGCCAGCTCCAATCAACTGGCAAAAGCTGCCAGTTGTGGAGGATTCTCAGGTTCAATCTGGGCACCAAGAGAAATCGGTCATGAGTGCAGGAGAGAGGGCTGGAGGACACAAACAAGTGGCACAGGCATGGGGTCTCTGGCAAAATGTGGTCCAAGTGAACCTGAAGTGTACCGACATATTAATATTCCTGTACACAGTACACATACGAAGAAAATGTATGCTCTGAAAGGCTATTTTATTCATAAAAGACTAAGAGGAGGGTAGAACAGTAGTCTTCAGGCTGGAACAGTATATTCCTGAAGATAAAAGACATTAGAAGGAATGCAAAACCATGGATGGTTTTAAGGAAGTATGTATACAGAAACTTAACTTCAAAAATACAGATCTGCCTGAGAACATATACATCCATGTGTCTTAAAAGCAATCACTTCCACTTCTTTCACAACTGCACTTCTACTTTACAATTTGTCCCATGCTGTCTAATTAATTACAGTGAAAGTACTAAATAATTGTTTAAAACCTTGTCTCTTCTATCAGTAAAAAGGGCATAGTCAGACTTTACATGCAAGATGGACAAGTGTTTTAACAACGAGAACTGGTTTTGCCAATTAATGGATTGGGCAGATATTTCCCATAATTTGAATAGCTAAATCTGTAGTCCTAAGTTTTGATGAAAATTCATTTAAAGTACAGCAAGGAACTCTAGTGAAAAATACTATTTCAAAAGATCATATTGAAAAAGACTGTTTCATGACATTATATTGAAGAAGACAGTATCTCAATTTTCCCAATATTTATCAAGTGTATCAGATCAAACAAGGTGCTTTAAGGTGGCTGTTCTGAGCCTTTTGCATTTCCACATGAACTTCAGGATGAGTTTATCAATTTCTGGGGGTGGGGGGAATAGTCAGCTGGGATTTAGACGGTGAGTGTGATGAATGTGAACACCACTTTGGAGAGTCCGCCTCTTGACATTAAGTGTTTCAACCCAAGACCATGGGATAATTTTCCACTTGTTTCTTTCAACAATGTTTTGCAGTTTTAATGTTAATGTCTTGACCTTATTTTGTTAAATTTATTCTTAAGCATCTAGTATTTCTGACACTATTGTAAATAAATTTCAATTTCATACTGTTCATTGCTAGTATAGAAATACAATTGATCCTGTATATTCAACTTTAATTTTACAGCCTTAATGAATTTGCTGTTTAGATTA